ATGCAATTTAGTTAAGTTTTCAGACAGGTGGCACCCCTCCTCAAATATATTTTCTGCTGCAAGTCTTCTTAAAACACTTTAGTTTGACACCCGCATGGCACTATTTCATTTATTTTATCAATCTGACTGAGTTAAAATTTTAAAATTGGTGGCAACCCTTCTCAAAAATATTTCCAACAGTTATCTTTCTTAAACCTCTTTAATTTGATACCCATATTGTAATATTTCATTTATTTGTTCAATTTGACTGAGTTAAAATTTTCAAATAGGTGGCAACCCTCGTCAAAAATATTTTCAGCAGTTATCTTTCTTAAACCTCTTTAATTTGATACCCATATTGTAATAATTTATTTATTTAATCAATATAATTGGGTTTAAAAATTTTCAAATAGGTGGCAACCCTCCAATTTTTTGCGATATCATTGGTTCTGGTATTATACCGAACAACACAAAAAAAATATTCAAATCGGTTCATCCGTTGTCGAGTTTTGACGACCGTGACATATGAACACAACATTTTTATATATAGTTATGTATTACAGGAGTAGTTCTGCGAGCCACTGTTAATTAACATAAGATTAACAATAATGTAACACTTTTGGCTCTCTTAGCATAGCTATAAGTTTAGTTTTAAGTATGAAATTGTGGAGTTGTAAAGTAGAAGTCACTGAATAAAGACCAAAACAGCAACATTCCGTCTACTTGATTACTGGCGCAGTCGGTCGCGAAAAAATAAATAAAAACGCACTGCAAACGATTCGTGTGATTGAATGAAAGAAAAATCGTTCGGAAAGAACATTTTTAATCAGTAAACTTATAGTAAATATATATGAAAATTTTTTTTTCACATTTGAATAGATACGTGGTTTAAGTAAAATCGTTCGAAAAGAACATTTTTGCAACCAAAAAATAAAGTCGTTCGAAAAGAGCGGGTCTAATTTGAAGATCGGACGTTATAAACTAAAAAATATTTGACTAATCGAAAGACCGTGAAGAAAAAAAAGTTTTAAAAAGAAAATATTATAATCCCGAAAAGTACAAAAAGGTTATACTCGTGTATCTAATTATTTCAACGAAAAAACAACAACAAAAACCAAATTGCTGAAACGCTGTTGAGAGTGAATGAAGGCTAAAGTCATTTCAAGGTCAAAGTCATTTAGAAGCCAAAGTCAATGACCCAGCAAACCAGAAGTAGAGGTCAAGCGGGGGGGTTCGCGAACTTAACGAGATTGCGAATTCTATTACGCTTGATTTTTCTTTGCCTAAGAATGTGTTTTCTAATTTACTAAACTCAATATTCTTCTAGCATTTTCTGTATAAATGTTCAAGTCTAGGTTAGCATTTTAGTCAGTAAGAACCATTGTTAGTTTTTTGACTTTTTTGAAATAAATAAATAAAAATAAACAAAAATTAAAAAGATTGGACGTTATGAACTACAAAATATTTGACTAATCGAAAGACCGTGATGAAAAAAAAGTTTTAAAAAGAAAATATTTTAATCCCGAAAAGTACAAAAAGGTTATACTTGTGTATCTAATTATTTCAACGAAAAAACAACAACAAAAACCAAATTGCTGAAACGCTGTTGAGAGTGAATGAAGACTAAAGTCATTTCAAGGTCAAAGTCATTTAGAAGCCAAAGTCAATGACCTAGCAAACCAGAAATAGAGGTCAAGCGGGAAAATCGCTTAGCTTCTATTGGAGGAATTGCAAGTGAATGTCATTTGGAGGTCGAACAAGCTAGAGAGGAATAACGGACAAAATAGTTCAACTTTAATTGGAACTGGAGTGCCAGTTACTGTCGAAATTCGACAGTTTTTCTAGTTTTAGAAGTCTTGGAGAGGTTTTCTAACTTAACACGTAGCAAAACTTAGACGGTAAAAAATTAACTAACCGGAAAATCTTCTGCTTTGGAACTAAAACGTAAATAAATTTTTTTTTATCTGGGAAGGTCTTTGGAAGACTTCGGCAGGACTTGGAATTGACCCGATACATTCAAGTTTATCGATAAATTTCAATGAGTTGATACATATCGATATTTCGATGAATTTAAAGAACATTAAAATCCGATAACTAAACAAAATTCGTTAACTCGACCAATTTCGATAAGTGTGAAATTCGAGGGCTCGATAAATTTCGATAATCAAAAATGTAAATTCTTTGGATACCTTTATAAATTTTTACTTTTGACAGCTCCACATTTTTCGAAAACTATCTAAACATTTTGATAACTCGTTACACTCAGTTAAGACGATTAAATTCGATAAGCAGTGATACATCGATAAGTTTATATAATCTTGAAATTTCGATAAATCGATATATTTTGAAAATTCCATAAACTTCGATTCATTGAACCAACCAATTTCAGTAGATCAATAATTGTCGATAACTCTGTAAGTTGAAAGAACTCCATGCATTACGACACCTCGATAAATTTCGTTAAGTCTATAAATGATGATAATTCAATAAATATCGATAACTTGATACATTTCTTTGACTTGACAAATTTCGTTAATCTCACACGTTTTTATAGCTCGATAACTATACGTAAATTTGGACAACTTAGTTTCTGTGTCTATAAATTTCGACAACTCAATAAACACTGATCAGTTTGAATAATTCGATACGTTGCGATGACTTAACAAGCATGGATAAATTTCGATAATTATAAACTTCGATGATTCAATAAATTTCAGTAACCTTTATGGCTGGTTTTATTTCGATTCCTATCGGAAAATTTCAACTCTGTTACCCTAATTCTTATGTATTTCTCATTGTCTCCATTTTTGTCTTTACCACCATTTTCGTCTTTATCTTCACTTTTGCCTTTTTTGTCTTCATCGTTATCGCTTGTTTCTTCATCTTCATATTTACCTTTATTTCAAAGTTAAATTTCAAATACGAAGTAAAACAAAATGCGAAACAGCTTAAATTGTACAGATTGCAAAAACAACCATACACAAATATGGAAATTTTTAAACGACGATTTTCAACCAATTTCAAAAGTATTAAAACTCTCCTCATCTACAGAAAATTACCTTTCCAACGGTGTTTTTGGTTTTGAAATCGGTAAATTTACCTTGGTCTTCATCTTTGTTTTTATATTTCATATCTTTGCTTATATCCTTTTCTTTTTCTATTCACGTAGATGAGATGAAGTGCGATGACGTGATAAGATGTGACGTGATTTTATGTGATACGATAGGATGTCATGTCATGTGTTGTCATATCCTCTGATGTCATGTCATATGATGTCATACCATATGATGTCATATCATGTGATGCCACGTCATGTAATGCCATGCCATGTCATACGATGTCATATCATGTGATGTCAAGTCATTTGATGTCATGCCATATAATGTCAAGAATGATAGAATACAAGATTGCGCCAATCGAGTTGAGAGCAACTGGCCGTGACGTCAAAAAATACCAGAATGAGAGAGCAAGACGAACTCGAGAAGAAAAAGAGGAAGCATCGAACAAAAGGCAGTATTGCCAAGTTTTGAATTTGAAAAAGCACCAAATTTTTATTGGTATATTTTATGGACTTTATATATATACATACATAATTTTATTGTAAGGATTCCGATTCAAATTAATAAAAATCAATGTTTCTTTTGTTTCACTAAATTTGGCACGAAAAGCATCCAGTTGGCAACAGTGAATGTTAACAAAAGTATTTTATGACGTCAGCGATTGGGTGGATGCTGTCAAATCGACGAAGAGAGGGTTAGTGGTCCGCGAATGGCGCGACCTTTATTTTCTGGATCGTGATATAATGTGATGTCATATCATATAATATCATGTCATGTGATATCGTGTAATGTGATGCAATATCATATGATGTCTCTTCATATCATGTGATAAATGTGAAGTGATGCCATGTAATGTGATCACATTCCATCTTCCGATAAGTGTGTCGATAACCCTCTTGATAACTGTGTTGATAAAAATACCGATAACAATATCCATACACATATAGAAAAATTCAACGATTGTAAAATCGATTAATTCATCGATAAATATAACAAACATCAGTATCGATTATTATACATATCGTTAACAATATAATAGACTAAATCGATAACAAAATCAATTATTTAATCGATTATTATACCAATAACAATATACATTATTGTATCGATAACAATATCGATTATTATAATGATTATTATATCGATTACAGTTATATAATCAATAATGTTGGAGCACATAATGCTCCAAGTGTACGACTTACTGAGCCACCACTGTAATTTTCTTTATCAGCTGGCCGCAGAACATAATAACCGCTGCCGCTGATATACATACATATGTACACACAACTGCACCTAGCTACATACGTAAATGCACTCTCAACTTCTGGATATATGTATGTAGCCAAATAGGTATCTACACTTTCATACATACAAGCTTGGGCATACAACAATGACAACAACACTCTGTTCGCGGTGACTACATTTGGGAGCCGCACCGTCGATGCTCTTCGCTTATCACTCTTCTATCATGATAACCAGCTAGCAGCGAGCCGACGATTCTCTTAGTGATAAGCGAATGTTATGATTTCAAACGGTAACATAATTGGGTCGCTGACCAAATGTAAGTTTGTATGGACCGCTCATCGAAAACAAACAAGTTTCAAGGGCAATGCATAACGGCGTATATCATCGCAAACTTTTTGTATATAAGAAGCTATTGAATTATATTTTGGAGACAGTCCACTTATGAACAGAGCAAGGCCACAAGGGCTGCTCTTCAAATAAATCGTCAAACTTAAACGTTTTTGTTTTTTATTTCTTTGGGCATCGGCAAGTGGAAAAGCCCACTTGCTCATTCACCGAGGTCCTTCGAGCCGGATCTATCTGGCTCACCAACAAGCTGTCATGGGCTCAGACACAGACTGTGGAACGCCGGCAATGATGGCCAGTAATACCAATATTCAAATAAGGATACTACAACGGGTTATGGACCTGCACACCAACATCCATCAACTAGACAACATGTCGCAATACCAGTTAGAGACGAAGCTGCAGCTGGTGGAACACCACTTCAACACTTTCGAGCGGCTACAGACAGAGCTCGAGTCACTGGACGAATCTCAGCTGGAAGTTTATCATCGCACAACATTTGAAGACACTTTTTGTGAAGTGAAGAGTGCAATCATTGAGCGCATGTCGGAGTTGCGCAGGGTATACACGCTCAGCAGTACGAGAGTGGTCGCACCATCACCGTCGGCGCCTCGCCACAGCTTGCCGAAACTGCAGCTAACCAAGTTCAGTGGCAGCTACACAGAATGGCTGGACTTCTTCAATATGTTTACAACCCTTGTACAAAATAACTCTGGACTGGAGGACATAGAGAAGTTCCAGTACTTGCGCTCGTGCCTCACACACAACGCCTTTCGCTTGGTACAGTCGCTAGAAGTTACCACCAGTAACTACAAGCGCGCAATTGAGCTATTAATCACCAGATACGACAACAAGAGGTACATCTTTCAATCGCATCTGCAAGCAATACTCAACTGCAAGGGCACACAGCCTGCAAACGCTTCATCATTGAGAGAATTTGTCGACAGCATAAACGCGCATCTTCGGGCAATGCAATCATTTGCCTCACCAAATCAAATTGCGGATGGTATACTACTCCAACTTATAGTTGCAAAATTGGATCCAGATATGCAAGTGAAGTGGGAGGAAGAAATTGTAGCAACATGCGACAAAGCGAGCTCCCCAAGCCTTCATCTTCCGTCCTGGGATGATCTGACGAAATTCATCGAACGCCGATGCCAAACAGTAAGCATCATTGAGGCCAACAAAGGTTCACTAGGCAAAGGCACGTCAACAGCAGCAACAAAATCCTCAGGGCAAAAATCAACATTCACAGCAACCGCAAACAACAACAAATGTACGCTTTGTAATGAAAGCAACCACCATACGGCCTTTAAGTGCACTAAATTCACACTGATGGATCCAATGAAGCGCTACATCTTGGTTAAGAACAATCGTCTTTGTTTCAACTGCCTAGGAGCAAAGCACACAGCACCCAATTGCCCATCAACTAATCGATGTCAAGAGTGCAAAGAGCCTCATCACACTCTTCTTCATAGAAGTCAACAACCACCTGTAGGTGATCAAGCACTACATCAAGCATCTACGTCGGCTCTGCATGCAGGTAGGCCACATCAGGACGTTATCTTGGCAACTGCGCTAGTGCAGTTGCACAATACACATGGAACAACGCTAATGGCTCGTGCTTTGCTGGACTCTGGGTCCCAGCTGAGTTTCATCTCCGAGCGCATTGCCCAATTATTAAGGGTCAAGAGAAACAAGGTGACCACGGAAATTAGTGGAATTGGGTCCGTGTTGACCACGTCACGATACTCAGCAGTCATCGAAATTAAATCACTACATAGTGGATTTGCAGCACTAACACAGGTGGTAATCATGCCATCAATTTCGTCGTCTCAACCACAAAAATCCATCGATATCGCAGCCTGGAGTGTACCGAAAAACATAGCCCTAGCTGACGACACATTCAACATATCCGGTCTGATTGATTTGCTAATTGGAGCAAGTCTCTTCTTTGACATTCTGTCAGTAGGTCAGATAAAGATCGGAGAGGAGCTGCCAATACTTCAAAAGACTCAATTGGGATGGATAGTGGCTGGTGCAATCAACTCACGCTCAGCGCTATCATCATCATCATTATCAACAGCGGTGTCATTGTTGGAATCCGTCGATCCACCAACACTTACACAATCACCATTAGACGAGTCTTTAGAACGCTTCTGGAGACTTGAAGATACTGCCCGTCATCAAGCAAATTCACGAACATCACCCGAAGAAGAATGCGAGGCTCACTTTCGTCAAAATACCACTCGTTGTCCGCTAACGAATAAATTCATCGTTCGACTACCATTTTCTGAAGAGCCATCCGTACTTGGACAATCAATCGACATAGCAAAGCGACGTTTTTACGTACTGGAAAAAAGGGTGCTACGCGATCCAGTACTCAAGACTGAATACAGTAAATTCATGCAGGAGTACATAGAGCTTAAGCACATGACGTTGGTAGATCCGCATGAATTCTCCGCTAAGGTGGGCACGTACATTCCACACCATTGCGTAAAAAAAATGGACAGCTTAACGACCAAGCTACGGGTGGTGTTTGACGCTTCGTGCAGCACCTCCAATGGAAGGGTCCTCAACAGCATTCTTCGCATTGGACCCAATTTACAAGATGACATCGTAACAATCTTGTCAAGGTTTCGCACTCATCAATATGTTCTAATGGCCGATATAGCCAAAATGTATCGGCAAATCATTGTAGATCCAAGGGATGCTAAGTGGCAGTGCATTCTGTGGCGCCACACCCAACAAGCCACTTGCAACATACCAGCTGCAAACGGTCACCTACGGAACCAGCTGTGCGCCATTTTTGGCAGTTCGATGTTTGCAACAATTAGCACATGAAAATATGTCGGCATATCCAATTGGAGCACCAATTACTCTTCGTGATTTCTACGTCGACAACCTGATGACTGGTGGTGCTACAATCGATGAAGTGAACTCCATAAAAACCGAAGTCAGCAGTCTGTTAAAAACTGGGGGATTTCCCCTTCGAAAGTTCGCATCCAACTCAGATGACATCATAGCCGACGTAGCAGCAGAAGATCGGGAGCAAATTGTAAGTGTTGACGACAAGGCTTATGTCAAGGCTCTAGGTCTCAAATGGTCTCCAACGACGGACTGCTTCATGTTCTCATACACACCGCCAGGTCATCAATCATCAAAGGTTACCAAGAGAACAATACTATCACAGGTGGCCAGCTTTTTCGATCCGCTTGGCTTGCTCAATCCCGTCATGGTAAAATGCAAAATACTTATGCAGCAGCTGTGGAAGCTGCGTCTTGCGTAGGATGAAGCAGTTCCCCAATCAATTCACACTGAATGGAAGGGTATTTGCCATCAGTTATCGTTCATCGATGGCATTCAGACGCCAAGATTTTTCGTCTACGATGCAGACACTGTCATTCACGCGTTCGCAGATGCAAGCAGCAAGGCCTACGGTGCTTGCATATATGCCGTGAATCAATCAATCAGTGGCCCATGCTCAACACTTGTGTGCGCAAAATCGCGAGTAGCGCCTACAAAGGAAATCACTTTGCCAAGGTTGGAATTGTGTGCAGCCACCTTGCTCGCAGAGTTACTACATTCAGTCATTTCAATATTTGCGTACAAGGTAACGCCAAGAAACGTGCATTGTTGGTCCGATTCGACCATCACCCTATCATGGATACAGCGCGAAGCGTATCACTGGACCACCTTCGTATCAAACAGAGTAGCGAAAATTCAGCAATTAACTGGTGACTTCACTTGGCATCACGTTCCGTCGGAAGAAAATCCTGCTGACTTGGTGTCACGAGGAGCAACTGTAAAGGACATTGCCGCCAACAGCCTTTGGTTCCACGGTCCTGAATTCCTAGTCAGAGACAGCAGCCAGTGGCCCAACAATCCAATACACATCCACGATGTGATTCCAGAGCAACGAAACCACGGCATATCTCTGACGATATCACCTCAACCGGACATCATTGCCGAGCACAAATATGTAAACAGTTATAATAAACTTTTACGTATTTTTGCGTATATCAATCGCTTTATTTCGTCATTGCGTCATATACCGTTTAATGCTGGTCCCATTTCCGCCAGCGAGTTAGATTCGTCTCTTTTGTTGATATGCGAATATATTCAGAGAACAGCCTTTGCAAAGGAATATAAGGAATTGGAAAGCGGTGGTGTAAGTCGTCTTTCAAATTTTAATCAACTTTCTCCATTTATTCACAATTGAGTCATAAGAGTCGGTGGGAGACTTAACAACTACTCATTTCCGTTCGAAGCAAAACACCCCATTCTCTTGCCGAAGACACATCCGTTCGTTCGCACGCTTGTTGACACACTCCATCGTCGCCACTTACATGCTGGCTGCCAAACATTGTTAAGTATTATTCGTGACAGATTTTGGGTCGTAAACGCAAGGAGTCTAATAAGACAAGTGGTGCATCGATGCGTGCTGTGCTTCCGTAACAAGCCACGGCTAGAGTACCAGCTAATGGGCGCCCTTCCTCAAGAGCGTGTGCAACCAACATTTCCGTTCGAAATCTCGGGCGTTGACTACTGTGGCCCATTCTCAATTACGCAACGAATTCGAAACAGGGGACCATTGAAGGTGTACATAAGTTTATTCATCTGCTTCACAACCAAAGCGGTGCATCTTGAACTGGTTCCAGATCTTACCACGATGTCATTCATTGCCGCGCTCAAACGCTTCATCGCGAGACGAGGAAGGTGCAAAACAATTTTTTCTGACAATGCAACAAACTTCGTTGGCGCAAATCGCGAACTACGCGAAATGTTGTCAGCATTCATCTCAGAGCAGCACATTACAACAATTCAGGAGAAACTTGCGGAAGAAGGTATAGAGTGGAAATTTATCCCACCCAGGTCTCCCCATTTCGGCGGTCTATGGGAAAGTGCCGTCAAACGCGCCAAATATTACCTCCGCAGAGCAGTCGGTTCACATCTACTCAACTTCGACGAGTTGCATACAGTTTGCTGTCAAGCAGAAGCTATAATAAATAGCCGACCTCTAACTCCGCTATCAACCAACCCCGATGATCTTCGTGCATTGACCCCAGCCCATTTTTTAGTAGGCAGGCCCCTGACTGCAATCACCGAACCAACAATATCAAAGGGTTGTCTACTTAAACGGTTTCAAATTGTACAGGCAATTCAACAAAATTTTTGGGAACGATGGCAAGCGGAATACATCAAGGAGCTTCAGCAACGGGTGAAGTGGAGTACACCACGCAATAACATTCAACTCAACGATCTGGTGTTGATCAAGGAAGACAATGTACCGCCGTTAAGATGGCCATTGGGACGAGTCGTGGAGACAATTCCAGGCAATGATGGTGC